TTAGATTTCTGTAACTACTTATACTTCTTTCACATTTTTAATATGTTGATCAATATTTATTTTATGACTTTTTAATATAATAATAATTGGTATTGGTAGAGACCCTATTTTTGTAGAGTATTTTCATTTTAAAAGCTCTTTTCTAAACTTAATATAACATTAATTGGATTATAATCCTATAAAGTAATTACTTTATATATTTCACCAGGTGATCATAATACTATTTGCACCAAGTGTAGAACTTTTCTGTGTGCGCTTTATATAGGTCAAATTGCAATGCCGCCAGTTCTCGGCGCATGGGAATATGGGGAATCGTTCGAAAAGGTTGCTTTCATTTCTGTTTATGTTTTTATAGTTCTTTTTGTTTTATTTAGGGTGGTTTTGCTTTTGGGAGGACGATAGGGAGAAAGGTTAGCTGGAATGTTAACCTTATGCAGCTGTCCCTCAGCTGCTTTCTTTCGGTTTGATTCTATAGGATATGGAAGATATGGTATAGCTGCCGATAGGCACGAATTCTATTGGAAAGGTTTCTAAAATATTTAGAATATAGTAATGATCAGAAAATCCAGGAAGGAAAAACCTAAATGATTTCATATTCTACAAATAATTTGATTTATTATAAAACCTATGACTTTTATCAACATTAGATTACTATATCCTAGAGCTTTCAATGGATTTAATGGACAAACAAGGTTACTTCAAAGTTTAGCCTCGAACCAAGCCTTTCTAACATAACATGTTCCATTTGATTCCATTTGAAACTGACCAAGTGTCATCTTGGATTAGTTTTGTGTGCCGCAGAAACTGTGTCAATCAACAATAATGATGCTTCAATGATGATGAACAGCCCCATTTGCATTGGCGATTGATTGAGCGGAGGAGGATCATTGAAAGATACGAGTATAGAGGACCCCGCAGAGCTGATAACATGACCATTATACATATATACAGGGTGTAAAGCCCAGCTGCAAGCCACATGCAGATATAGTATTTGCTTTGTGCTCTAATCAACTGAAAACTAGGAAACTAAGCCCAATGCAAAATACGTCAATCGAATGCACAACTACGAATGGGCCATAGATAGATAGCAATCGATTTGAAATCAAACAAAGAGCTTCTTAATGTGCGACTCAGAACTGCACTTGACTCATTTTTTTTTTTCGTATTGCCTGCTGCAACGAAATCGTACCATAGTCATTCAGAAATATATATATACTACGTAAGCGAATATCTGATACCACCCTCAACTTGGACTTTAAGCGACGGAAATTGGCCACAAAAAACATGACTCCCCCGTGATAACGATGTGTCCCAGGCCCAATAAAAGGTAAATCAAACCGATAAGCTATGAATCTATACATATTATAAGAAGTGCTTGTGCCATGCGAACAATGCGAAGGTCGGGCATTGGCTTTTCCACTAAAAATAAAGCAACATTTGTATTTACGGATTTGCATTTAGAAATGTAGAAATTTAGCGTATTTATTTAGTGACCTTTGGATCCCTACTATTATAGCAGGGAGAATCCATCATCACAACAGGACAATTTTCACCAACTGATAACGAACCTTGTTTATAAAGTTATAGCTCTGTAACTATGCCCAGGTTGAGGTATTCCAACGTGATCGTAAATAAATAACAAATGATCTAAGAGGGGGTTATAAAAGCATTTCAGGGAAAGCTGGAGAGGATGTGGGAACTTATAGTTTAAAGTACCGTCATACGATCGCGTGGCGAACCCCACTAATCAACGACTAAAGTGCCATTATTTCTGCTCGTGTTCAAGTGGTTCGAGTTCCAACAACAAATAGGAAGTGCAAAATATAAGCTGATAAATAGAGCTCCATAAAAGAACGTCATGAATGAATAGGACTATAAAGAACTAGCCCCAAGAGGTGTTTTTCCAACACCATATCTAAATAACCCCTTTTGATTGAAGTTTAGAATTGCGTGGACAATAGAAATTTATGACAATAGTAGGTTTATAATGCAACCATAATTTTTATTTAAATAGTAAGTAAGTTCTAATTTGGTCTCTGTAGAGAGCATAATTTGGCTTGAATAAATATTAATTGAAACCCCTTAGGGGTGTATTGACAATTTCTCTTATTTAGGGTAACTGTCTCTGACTCGAAAAACAAGTAACAACTTTCACAAATCTAATCTGTAAGTGAAACAAAACATCTTTTGTCGGTGTAACGCTACTGTACCTGTTTGTGTACTTAGGACCCGAAAACCCCTGCTAGGCATAACGACTTTTAAAGTCCACATTAGACACGCTCCGGGGCTGAGTAATCATTAAACAGGCCTAGATCAAAATGCAACCGACCAAATTTAATTGCGGCAATTAAAGTGGCAACTGAAATTACACAAAGGCCTTGCAGCGCAAAAGTCTGGTTGCGCAGGTAAAACACCTGGCCGGGCTAACGAACTTTCTAGCAAATGGTTGAGGTATTACAGAGATCAGGTAGCCACAAAAGAGGTAACAAATGCAAAAAGGAATTATCTAGAGTAAAGGAATATAAAAGATTCACCAGTGAGATCTTAAAAGAACCAAAATAAGTACGGGTGAGTAAGATTAATTAAGTTTACGTTTAATCTTTCTATTAATTAATGATGTCATGCATTTAAAAAAAGTGACAACTATTTCTTTTGTGAATACGAAAGATTTGGGACTGGCTTTCCCTTTGATTTAAAGAACAAATACTCTTTATAATCGGATTATTTTTAGGTTTCTAGGGAAAGCATACAATTTTAGAGCTATTTTTTTCTGTGTTTTAACTTCAATGAAAGCAGATTCAGTATAAATTGAGCATGTTAAGCCCCGGGGGTGATGATCATCCATCCCATTGGCACAGGAACAACAAAATCGCTTGATTATTTTAACGATCGAACGCTGCTGCCGCTGCTGCTGCTGCTGCTGCTGACGTTATTCCAGATTATAGCTCTCGATTATACCCTGGTCAAACGATAAGCCTTGCCGATCTGCAATACTGCTGCAAATGTAGCCATGAGTAATCCAGCTGACATTTGTTTTTCTCCCTCGCTAGTTTTGAGAGCTTGATTGACATGTTTATACCCACGATACAAACGAAGCGTTACACAGAAAGATCGAAACGAAAACAAGAACTCGTGTTACACAGCCCTATATATATGTACATATATTTGATAGTTGTTATATATAGCCCCGATTCCACAATAGCACAGCTTTTGCCTCGCATTCCTAGGCGACTTTCGATGAACGCGCCTCCTAAGCAAAACAAATACATAAATAGGCACTCGACCTTCAGCTTCTTGATCAAAATATATGGTACAGTTGGGGCTAAAGTGCTAGTATCATTTCATAAAATTTGATTTTTGGCAAGTTAAGTTATACTTTTAGTCACCATGACGAAATATGTATTATCAAAAAGATTAAATTGCCTTTATAAATCCATTTTATATAGTATACATTTGATTTAATACGATTAGGAAACTCTTTTTTAATTCAGATAAGATTATAACTTTGAACTTTTAGGTTAAATTTACTTTATAACCAAAAATCATATTTTATTAATGAAGTATTTAATTCTTCAAAATCAGCTCTACATTTTCTTGGCCTCTGCTGTAATCGTGTCTTTGTATATAGCCTGTATATTTTCGGGTTTGCCGCTTTTACAAAAGTGCGTTGTCCCGCGGGCCCGGTCTCCGGCCTATGAAACTTGTTTTTCTGTTTTCGTTGGGTTTTTCAACTGCGTCGTAGTTTTCCCCCAAAACGGACGAGCCCCCACGATAATTTGACAAACCCACAAAACACACACACGCTCACACACTAGCACAGAATTATTAAGAAAGAGACCCCCATTGACTTCCTAGCGACCTACAAACGCAAAACAAGCTTATCAATTCAATGCAATGCGTTTTATATTGAGCCTCACAGCATCTCGCTCTGCCTCTGTCGCTCCGTCTCTCTTCCGCCCACTAACAAAGTCACTGAACTGCCCAGTGGTTGTTTTTGCAATCAGCTGTTTCACATCCAAAGGTACGTGTGCATGTATGTGTTTTCGAGAAAGGGGAAGAGAAGTGGCGAAAAAACCAGAGGAAGATGCACAAAATATTTTCAAGGGGGTTCTTTGCAAAAAAAAATATATTAAGCCTTAGAAAGGTCTCTAAATGGAATAAAAATTTAATTATTTAACAAAGGGAATATCAGTTCAAAACAGATTAAAGCAAAAAGCTAAGAAAATAAGGGTTTTGCTGTATGAATGTCTTCTAGGGGTAGTTCGCAACCCCAAAACCCCCTTGCACAGCCACTGTTCTCACGTTCGTAAAGACTCACCCAATGGCAAATCGCAGAGGAGACAGCAGGCGGCCAAGGAACCGGCCGATGCGCCTCCAATCTTCTCCAGCAGCAGATGAGGGGCATATTTCTTGAAGCACACGGCCACTCCGACGTGGTAAATGCCCAGGAATCCGCAGCCAGCGAATGATAGATTCATGCTTTGGATTCTATGTAGATTTTATAAATTGGCTGATGACTGTGTTGTTTGCTCGCGTCACTGATTTTTTCTTCTTATTTTCGTATTCTGGCGGCCTCTCGCACTTTCCGCAGGTATATATTAGGCAATTGATGGCAACTCTTTCGATTTACAATATGTGTTAGCGTAAAAAATATATGTTTCGATTAGGTGTTCTAACACTTTTCGTTAATTTAGCAAATTTCTCTTCGCGCACTTTTTACGTTTTTTACGTTGTTGCTTTGCTCGCGAACCGTTATTCATATGCGCTTGCGGTGGCTCTTTTATAGGCAGTTGGTGGCTAGAGACGGCAGCAAGTCGATTCTATGGTTAATCGATAATGAGTATCGATGTTTCGTGTTTGTTAAGAAGCAGATATCCAATTCGACATGTATCGATATTTCGTGCTTGTAAAGAAGCAGAATTGGGATTGACAATATATAGGATTGATAAATAAAGTGCTACTGTAATTTATTTAAAATATTCTTAAAAACAGACTAAGAATATTACATTTTGTGAATTCCCAACATATATAAGACACTTTAAGATACCGATATTTTCAGCGGGCCGTTGCTGCCAACCGATATTTCCCATCGCCGCTTTGCCCACCAATAGCGAGTACACATCTAATACATTTCCCATCGCTAGCAGTATTCGGTTTGCAAAAAAAAAGGTCATATGAAAAAATGGAATTAGCTAAGAAATTACAGGAGAGCGGCTGGTAAGTTTAGCATAAAACAGTAGCGAGGGCAGCAGATTAACCATTATTGCAGGCACCTGACAGAGGACGGTCTCAAAACACTGACAGCCGCCATTGGCAGCGAAGACCCCAAGAAAATCATCGCCGAGCTATTGAATGTATGTATGAGAATGAGAAGGCGAACCGGCGTCATCATCATCTAATTGTGAGTTCTAACTTGCTTCTTCTTCTTACTTGTTTTCTCTAGAGGGACATCCGCGACATAGGCGGTGGTGCATTGCCCGCAAAGCGTGACGATGCCACTCTGCCCGGGAAGATTGTACTGCAAGTGCAGAGGGTTCGGAACATAGCCGCTCCCAAAGCGAACGAGGAATCGAAGGCGGCACCGCGCCTTCTGCAGCTGGAGCTGAGCGACGGCCAGAACTCGATTCAGGCCTTGGAGTTGGAGCCCGTGCCGCAGCTAAATCTCAATGTGGCACCCGGCAGTAAGATCTACTTCAAGGCCGAGAAACTGCATCTGATGCAGGGATTCCTGCTGCTTCGTGCCACTGAGTTGCAGATTCTCGGCGGCCGAGTGGATGCGCTCTACGAGAAGTGGGATCTGACCAGAACTATGCTCAAGTATGCCCGAAGTGGCCGCCCCTTGAGTGGATCGACAATGCCACCTCCATGGGTGGCATTCGGACGAAAAATCGACACCACCGCGGAGCGCGAGAGGAACTTCAAGAGTCTAGGATCGTCAGGCGATAAGGACAAGCCGGCGAAGGAGAACGATGAGTTTAATGCAATGCGCAGCGAAGCTATTGCCGTGGCAACGAAAGCCGGCGGCAAGAAGGTCTTCGGCGGCGGTGGCCAAAACATCATCGATCACAACATCAAGAAGATCCTGGACAAAGGCTTCAGCGAGGAGGAGGCCCGCAGTGCCTTGCACGCCACCAGAAACAACCTTGAGCGTGCCCTGTTCAATTTAAAGCGACGCAAGGAAACGGGCGGCGTGGGTCCCATCGAACCAGTGGGTCGCCCGGGTCGCGGAGAACGTCCTGGCCGAGAGGGCAAGCGCGGAGCCACCGCAAAGGATGAGGCTGAAGCGGCAAAACCAGCAGCTAATGCCACGCTGTTTGATTTTCTCACCACGAAACTGCCCGCCTCTGAAACACCGACCGCCAGCGTTGCTGCGACCTTTTCTTCAGCCCCAACTGCCCCACCTACTGCCAATCACTATAATCCGTTCAAGCAATACGAAAACTCAAGGTTTGGCGAAACCGATAGCAGATCGTCAGCTCTTGGCGGAGGTGGCGGTGGCGGCGGAAAGTTTGCGGATCGTTCGAGATTTGAGAATAATGTGTCGAGCAGCTTTGCCGCCCATCGCGGTGGACATGGTGGTTCCTCAAGGGGCGGCGGCCGTAATCGAGGTGGAGGAAGAGATGACAGGCCACCGAGAGAGGAGAGGCCACCAAGAGAGGAGAGGCCACCGAGAGAGGAGAGGCCACCGCGTGAAGAGAGACCTCCTAGAGAAGATAGGCCGCCTCGAGAGAGGGGAGGCTACAATGAGCGAGGTTCTGGACGCAACAAGTCGGAAGCCAATAATGTGAAAGCCTCTTCGCGCAACGGAACGGATAACGCGCAAGCCAAGAGCCATTCCGATGCGAAAGTAGATCAAGAAGCAACCAATGGAAAGGACCACGCTGGCAATCGTCGTGGCAGTGATCGTGGCAACAACCGCGGAGGCTCGAGTCGAGGAGAGAATGGCAATGCGAGTGGAAACAAGCGTAAGCCGCAGGCAGGCACCAATGTATTCAACGCAACAAGTGCATCCAGCAAACCCTCAACCAATTCTGGAGAGGATTTCAATGCACGTTTGAGCAAGGTAACCGAGGAGACTGCCAATCTCAAGGTGAGCAGTGCGCCCAAGCGAGAGAATCGTCGCCGGCAGGGAGGCAACCAGGGGCAAGCCAGTCGCCAGTCGGGATCAGGAACGGGTACGGGAGCAGGAATGGACCAGCAGCAGCAACAGTCATTACAGCTGGCTTCTCAGAAGCCGGAAAAGGCTCAGTCCACTCAGAAAACTCAACAAAATCAACAACAGAATCAACAGCAGCAGCACCAACAGCATCACAACACCCGAAATCATTCGCAACAAAACTATAGTCAATTGGCGAATGGATATACATACGATCCCAGCAAGATTATGGGTTTCCAGAGCAAGGAGGCCAACGAGTTTGCCATGAGTCTTCTAAAGAGCCAGGGCGTGGGACTGCCCAATCAGGAATCGGCCTCAGCGCAACCCTTTGCTTCAGCTTCAGCTTCGGTTCCCCATCCTCAGCAGCAGTCTCCGCCCCAGGCGGCCCCGAGGGAGCACTATGGAATGACACCTGGCGATGCCTGGATGTGGCAGAAGGGAGACTTGTGCATGGCCAAGTATTGGGACGACGGCAGAGTGAGTAATTCCTGAATGCAAAAATAAATCGTATAATGCTAATCCTGCAATACTTTCAGTATTACGAGGCTGAGATCACGGGTGTTTCGGAAAAGACTTGCGTGGTCTTCTTTCTGGGTTATGGCAACCACGAGGAGGTGCTCCAGGTGGACATATTGCCCATTACGGATGCACAGAACAGGCCGATGAGCAATGCTCCACAGCGGCAGCAACAGCAGCAACAACAGCAGCAACTCCATCAACAGCAACAGCAGCAACATTCACGATACCGCGGCGGGGACCGCCAGGCGCAGCAGCAGCAGCAAGTCTATGTGCCGCCCCACAAAAGAGAACATTGAAACTGGGCCGGCTTGTATTCAACGTAAATCAATTAAAATAATGTTTCGAATAAAAAACTTTACAGTGTATTGAAACTAACTATATATAATGGATTTTATTTAAATTTATTTATATTATTTATTTACATATTTATTCATATTTATATTTAACTGTAGAACCTTCCTATTAGGAGGCCTAGAATTTTCTGGAATTTTGAAAAAACATTCCAATACATATATTTTTTTTAATAATACCAAACAATTATAATTATAAATTACATTAATATATTTAAAAACTGAACGTAAGACAGTTTTATAATGAAACTATATAGTTTAAATATTTTTCCCGAAAATTTCTTTATTTTGTCTTATGTATCTTACTCCTAGTCACACAGCCTGTTGCATTCTTAAAACAAAGCCGGTTTTATTTCGAAACTATTAATGAAACTCATACAATTTTGAATTAATAAAATAGTATGACCAAAATACAATCCTTATATAACTAATTTCGTTTTAAAAATGTTTAAATTTATTATTTCTTATAAAATATCTTCGTCCGTTGAAGGTTTAAGCATTATGGGCAGCATTGGATGAAAGATTACTTTACGTTGTTTACATTTGTGCTCATTTTAAAGTTTCGCAACTCTTTTCCATGTATTCCATCGTAAACCAAATATAAAGGCCATATTAATTATATTATATTCTGTTACATATTATCGCATTAAATTCTTTTGGACTAATAAATATAAATTACTAATAAAATAAGGGTCCTGAGTTTCGTCAGTTTTACACAGTGGAGCCACCGCATGAGTAAAAAACAAATGTCAAAATATACGTAACAATTTTTAACCCTTCTTCTTTGCCATTTTTCGGCGTTACTCAAAACTCATCCACATCCACAGATGTGCATTTTTTCTCTCATAGTTTTGTGGCTTAACCATGTAAAATATAATTAGCCGTAGTGTATAAACAATAAGAATAAGTGCAAAGGTAATAGCAGAGCGTAAGGGCCAGTGAAAAAATCGTATTGGGCAACTCCAATTCGCAAAGTGGCAGCGGGCAATGGCCGACTCGCAATAATTGCCTTGAAAAAGTGCACCCGCAATCTGTAATTGCTGCTGGCCATGCGGGATGAATACCGAGCTGTAAAAATAACCGACTAATCAGATAAAAGTGCATTGCATTTGCAAAAAAAAAAGAAAAAATATATATGTATGAATACATATATATATATATATATATATATCTATATGTATTTCATATGGCAAAATCATCGTGTATGTCAGTGTTGTTTTGTCAAATCGGCGCTCAGTGTTAGAAAACGCAATCAGCCGATAATCGTGTTTTGTTTTGTGCACATATCTGGACTTAATTAAGGAAAAGTAGCCCAAAAATATGATCTACAATAAATTGCTGCAAATTAGTTAACCTAATATTTTGTCAAACCGCGTTAAAAGCAAATATGTACTTCCACATGCGATACTCGGCAGCGAGTGCATCGCGCGTTGTCCAACACCGTCGACTGTCTGCTGTTTCAGCACGTAAAAGCAGAAAAATGGTAAAATAAATCCTTCGCATTTCGCGTGCATGGTGCAAAAACGGAATTAAATACGCTTGATCGCTGCCTCTAGGCATAAACTTTGGAATAACCATGAATTTATCAAGAAAAGTGCTTATATTTCGCCTGCAAGCGGCTGAGAACACAACGCCTAAGGAAGAAAATTGTCCATGTATACAAAAAAAAGTGTAATAGAGGAGTGAAAAAAGAAATAACATTAAATAATAGCCAAAGAATATTCTGTGTTTGCATTTTGCCTACAACCCACACGGATCGCCATTTAATTGTAAATAATTCCCTAGTCGCCGCGTATAAATAAAAACCGCACAACAACAAATCGCACATACTCACACACACGCACAGCGCAAAAAAAAAGTAGCAGAAAAAAACCGAGAGCAAGCACCTCCAAAAAGGAAAAAGAAAAAGAAGGAATGAAAAAGAAGCAAATTGAAATTTCTTTAATTATGCTTGCAAATTTTCTCGCTTTCGTTCGAGTGCGTATGTTCCCGGCAGCCACTTGGTTTCCCCCCCTCCCTTAACCCACTATTTTTCCTCTGTTTTCCCCTTGCCTTGGTGGCGGTGGCCGGTGCGAGAGTGAAAATTACTCTTATGAAAATTTTGCGTAACCGAATTAGAAGAATGAAAATTGTGTAAAACGCGAAACGGAACACACGGCAAGTAGCACTTTGGATTGTTTACGAGATACCTGCACACCCGGGCGGGCACCCTTCATAAAAATCCGAATATATACACAATTGTTTGTGATACGATAAGCCGACCACCAATCGACCCACCGAAAGATATGTATGTACATATATAAACAACTTCTGTTTTTGGCCCCAAACAATTTGGTTTTAAGCAGAGAATTATAGTCCCTCTGCCATTTATTGATTTGCAAAGTCAGCGATGGCCAGGGGATGATCTAGATCTCGGAAAGAAGTCCAAAGAGAGGGAGATAATGGTCCAAAGATCTCTGGGTAACTACATATGTGCTACTTATCACCAAAGCGAACGAGATTATAAATCTGGATTCAATAAATATTCAGTACCGAGAAAGTGATGATCCAGATAAGAGATTGCACTCCCAAGATCTCTATAGAAGGCGAAGACTTCTCTCATGACGAAGAAGAATTCTCCAGAAAGAAAAAGTCACATAAATCTATTTATTCTTAAAATATCTCAGTAAATTGAAAACATTTCAAAGAAAAACAAACATGTTTTTATTTAAATACCTTACTAAATTCAGAACCATAAATCATTATAAATATATAAATATAAAATGCAAACATAGAAATAATGGAAAATGTGATAAAACACCAATAGGAACCTATAAATGAAGAAATAATATTAAATTTACATTACTACCAAACATTGGCTTAATAAATCATCAAATAATATATATATAAAATGTAAACTATAACTAAAAAAAGTTAATAAATGAATTTAAGTAAATCTACAGCTTAAATAACTTGAACCACAAACATATAATACAATATATTCACATTTTTTTCCAGTAAACATAATGCCCAAAAAGTATATAAATAATGAATTGTAAAAAATCAGATTTCTTTAATATTTAACCAACCGCAAAATTGTTAACTTATGTAAGTACAAATAAAATCATAATTATTTAAACCAAATAATTAAATACCAAACTCTTTACCCTAAATAGAATCAACTTAGAAATTAGACGAGCGATCAAGACAAGAAGGATCCAAAGGATCTATGAGTAACCAACAACAAGCAACAAGAAGAAGCCAGTAACACACACACAATGGCCGCCGAGAAGGAGATGCAGGCCCACGACATGGTCCGACGACGGAGCTGGGCCCGTGCGGTGGCCCTCTACGATCAGCTCATAACCACGCCCGCTTCCGGTGGTGGCACTACGAGAGCACAGAAGGATCAACAGATTGCCTGCCTGCTGGGTCGTTGCGAGTGTCTCCTGGAGCTGGGCAAATTCGAGGGTTGCCTGGCGGACGCTTACAAAGTGCTCACATTGCTCTCTGAGCAAACCGAGTGCCTGGCTAGCGTTTCCAGGGCACGCCGCTGGCTCGTCCACGCCCTCTTCAAGATGCACAAGTACGGGGTGAGTATTTCCATTGATTTTTCCTTTGACACGTGTCTATAAATGACTTTTCTCTTGTTTTAGGATGCTGAGATCTTTCTGAGCAAGTGGATCAATGAGCTGAGCGGCCAGCAAATATACTCGGACATATCCAAGACCCTTGAACGCTACAAGTCCATCATACAGATGATCATGAATGGCCAGCACAAGTCGCAGGCCCAGAAGATCCCGCACGCCCGTCTCGAGGACGAGATGGCCATACTGGACACCAAACTGGATCATTGGGCCACCAACAATTTGCCTTTGGACAAGTACAGCAAATTGCTTAGCAACAAGGGTCTGAAGAAGCGTGAGCAGCAGCAGCAGCAACAGCAACAACAGCAGCAGCAGCAGCAACAACAGCAGCAGCAACAGCAACAACAGCAGCAGCAACAGCAGCAAAATGGCAATGGAACCGGCAGTTATGCTAGCAGCAGTAGTAATTCCAGTACTGGCAGCAGCAGCACTATGTCCAGTTCCAGCACCAGCCTCCACAAGACCAACGATCTGCTGGCAGCCATGAAACTAACAGCCGGCAAGCATCAGCCAGGCTCTGGCGATGGCTCCAGCTCGGATGGCGGTGACCAGGCGGCGCCATCAACCACCTGCAGTTATTGCGCCATCACCTTCCAGACGAGAAACGAACTGCGCCAGCACTGTCAGACCGAGGCTCATCAGAAGGTGATCATGAGTGATGAGGGTGAGTATCCGGGGGAGTTCTGGTAAAGGGAGTGCTTGCTTAAGACGTAAGATTAACGAATTGTATTTGAACTTATTCAGGAGTTAGATTTAAAGAAAGTTTAAAAACCCCTTTAAGACTATATTAAATTATTAATATCAATAATTGTTTTAATTTGTTTCGTATTTGTTACATTAAACCCTAAATTACATTAAAAACTAAACAAGAAATCAGTTTCAACCGGTTATATTTGGAAGTATAATGCGTTTGTACATTCTAATAATAGCAACAAAAATTCCAATTGTATAATCCTTTTGTTGTTTGTTAGAATTTTGTGAGATAAGCAACGTTGAAGCACCGAAAATGTGTCATATCTATAGTAGTTTTGGAAGAATACTCGGGATATTAGTTAAGTAATTTGCAAATATTATTCTATATTACATTTTAAAACCTAAATCAATTTGAAAGCCCTTCATTGAAACTCCATACACAAACAGAAACACAAACTTCAACTGTAACATCTTGTTTATGAAATCGAAACATAAAAATAATGATTCCACACCCTAGACTAGCTTAAGAAAAAAAAACTGAAAAACAACAACATGAATATTCAATCTTTTGGAAGAAGTAAAAATAAACTAACAATCTTTCATTTAGGCCGTGACTGGAAATGGAGACCACCGCCTCGCGGCTACACCCTGGACACCTATTCCCTGTGCGAAACGTTCAGTGAGGCGCATACCTGCCATTACGGAGCCCAGTGCGTGGAGGCCCATGGCCAGGATGAGCTGAACGAGTGGAAGGAACGCTTCGAGTATCGTCGTATGCGAGTGCAAAAGGCCTGTGAGAAGGAGCTGTATGGGAAGTCGTACACGGAACAGGTCCTAGAACGATGGATCCAGGCCACGGCACCGGAACGAGTGATGTGCGAGCGGGTGCCAGACATGGAGGCGAGATGCGAACAGCAGCTGGTCACCAGCATTAGTTCGAAGACCTCGAAGCGAGAGTGGCTCTTTCAGCTGGAGACGAAAAAACCCCTGAAAGCGGTAGCCCTGCTCCAAGATGCCCATCGGAATCACTTTGCCTTGAAGTCCATTAGGATGACCAAGCCCACGGAGACGAGCATGGAGCTAAAGTCGGATCAGGAGTGGGTGGCAGGCAGCAGCAGCAGCAGTAGTTCGTCAGAAGCCAGCGGCGATGAGACCTCCCCGACGCTGTGTCACGAAATTACTGTGGAGTTTCAGACGGAGATCTATGGAACGTTTAGGCAGGCCATCTGCTTTGATGTGGGTCAAGAGCCGCTGCTAGTCCGGCATCTCTGCGTGGACGTGCTGCCCGTGAATGATGCGGAGAAGATTGAGGAGATCAAGCGGGACATTATCAACAGTTCAGCCACCCGGTGGGATGTGGCCAATACGCAACTCACTCGATTTGAGACCACCATTGGCACGCACCTCAAGACGGAGGCGTATCTCAGCGATCTGGAGCACGAACGAGAGCTGTTGGAGCGATATCCCTGCCCCAGGGCGGCCACCTTTACGCTGACCCAGTCAACGATTGTGGAGAAACGATTGACGCAGAACAACTATCGATCCCGCATCCACGAACTGTTGTCAGTGGAGGAGATAGCCCGCTACGAGCAGATTGCCAGATATAATGTGCGTACGCGTTTGACGGTGGCCTCCAACTATATCCTAACACCGGCTGGAATGGCCACGAGCACAGCGAAATATTCTCTGGCTGGTGAGCTGTTTGCTCTGATGCGTTTGGGGAAGGATATCTCGGAGGATACGTCACCTGGCCGCCTGATTCTCTCCAACTGCAGCAGTGTGTACATCTCAAAGCCAGAGGAACCGGACTCTAAAGCTAACCCCGACCAGCTGCGGCAAGTCTACGAGGCTCTGATCGAGGACAAAGGCAAGAATGTGATCTATTTGAAGCTGTCGGCCAAGTGCGTGGAGGCAATGTCCCTGCAAGCGGATACGGAACTGGACGTGGACATACAGTTCCAGCTGAATCGAATGCCCTACTGCGAGTGGCATAATGCTGTGGACAAGATCACCGACTTCCGACTGATCTTTCCCGCCACGGAGCTGGAGCCCAGTATACCCTGGACGCCGAAGAAACAGTGGGCCGATGCCTGTGAGCCCAAGTTGAATGCCAAGCAAAGGGAGGCAGTGAATGCCATTACCACGGCTCTGAGCATCAAGTTGCCACCGATCCTGCTCATTGGACCCTTTGGCACAGGCAAAACCTACACTCTGGCTCAGGCTATCAAGCAGCTGTTGGCCCAACCGGAGGCCAAGATACTCATCTGTACGCACTCGAATTCGGCGGCTGATTTGTACATTAAGGAGTACCTGCATCCGTGGATCGAGGAGGGTCTGGAGGAGGCCACACCGCTGAGGGTGTACTACCACAAGCGATGGTCCGCCACGGTGAACGGAGTGGTGCAGAAGTACTGCATCACCGATGGCGCTGGCAACTTCAAGCGGCCCAGCGTGGAGGACATAATGCGGCATAGGATCGTGGTGGTTACGCTGAGTATCAGCATGGAGCTGGCCACTCTGGGCCTGCCCAAGGGTCTCTTCACGCACATCTTCCTGGACGAAGCGGCTCAGGCAATGGAGTGTGAGGCTATAATGCCCTTGGCCCTGGCCAATGATTCCACGAGGATTGTGCTGGCCGGAGATCACATGCAGATGAGTCCGGAGCTGTTCTCCGCCTTTGCCAAGGAACGTAAGCTGCACATTTCGCTGCTGGAGCGGCTGTACGATCATTATCCCTCCAACTTCCCGTGCAAGATCCTGCTCTGCGAGAACTACCGCGCCCACGAGGCCATCATCCGCTTCACATCCGAGCTCTTCTACGAGCAAAAGCTGGTAGCTTCCGGAAAGCAGCCGCGGCACGAGCGCTTCTACCCTCTGACCTTCTTCACCACCCGAGGCGAGGATGTTCAGGATAAGAACTCGACGGCCTTTTACAACAACGCCGAGGTCTACGAGGTGGTGGAACGTGTCTCCGAGCTTCGAAAGCGATGGCCCAGTGCCTGGGGCAAGTTGAACGATACCAGCATTGGAATCATGACGCCCTATGCGGATCAAGTGTTCCGCATTCGATCGGAGTTGAGGAAACGACGCATGGGCGGCATATCCGTGGAGCGAGTACTCAATGTCCAAGGCAAACAGTTCCGGGCGGTCTTCCTCTCCACGGTTCGCACGCGACGCACTTGCATGCCGCAGGGTAGTGCCCCGGGTGGATCGACAGCCTCCTCTACGGCCAGCATCGGGGATGCCGACACGGACTACGGATTCCTGAGCAACTCCAAACTCCTGAATACGGCCATAACACGTGCCCAATCTCTGGTGGCCGTGGTGGGTGATCCCGTCGCTCTCTGTTCCATCGGACGCTGCCGGAAGGTGTGGGAGCGCTTCATCGAGATCTGTGACGAGCACAAGTCGCTGTTCGGTCTGACGTGGTCGAACCTACGCTCTCAGCTGGATGGTGTGGAGCTGAAGCGCGGCTATGTGTTGAATCCTCTGGCTCCCGAGTTCGTTCCGCGTGCCCTGCAACCGGAGGCATACCTGCGAGAGCAGGCTGCTCTCTACTTGAACGGACCCCAGCACGGACATGGCGGAGTTGGTGGCCATGGACCAGGTCCTGGTCCGCCAGCACACTTTGCCTCTGCCGCTGCAGCAGCTGGAATGCTTGGTCCCGGACCGGCGGTTGCTGCACATCAGATGAACCAAATGGCAGCTGCCATGGCGGCCAACCAACAGCTCTCGCACATGTACTCCACGCACATGGCGGCGATGATGGCTGCCGCAGCGGCAGTGGGAGGGAAGTCTGGCAGTGGTCCTGGGGCAGGAGGTCCCGGAGGACCCGGTCCAGGGCCACCACCACACTTTGGCGGTGGCGGTGGCGGCGGCGGTCACATGGGAATGCGTGGACCACCGCCGCCGGCGCCACATCTACGAGGAATGCCACCCGGTGGTCCGCCGCCTGTACAGCAGCCAGGAGGGGCTGGTGTGGGCGGAGGAGGAGGAGGAGGAGGTGGACCACCACCACCACCCTATGGACAATATCCGGCCATGCAGCACTGGCGGCCACCGCAACAGGGTCAGAATCAAGGCCCGGGACTGGGACAACAGCCACAGCCGCCACAGAATCCCAACGCCAGTCTCTGGGGACCGCCGCCGCAAACGAATCCGTGGAGCGTGCTGCCACCGAACAAGCAACAGCAACCGCAGCAGCCGCAACCGCCACCAGTGAGTGCTCCCGGACGCGGTCCAGGACCCCCACCGCTCAATGCAAATCCTTCACTTCCGCTGCGCGGTGGAAGTGTTCCTCCGCCGCCGCCAAACGCCTCGGCAGCCGCCCAGCAGCTGCTGAGGAATCCCAGCGAACTGGGCTACCTGGCCAAGAAGACGTTGTATAATCACGGTCAGGCCCCGCCACATCATCAGCTTTATGGACCCGGACCTGGACCCGGCCAGCCACCGCCACCGTCTCAGCAGCAGCAGCAGTTGCAGCGGGGCAGCAGTGTGCCCAACGGACCCATGTCGCCCATGGAGAACGGACCACCGCCGCCGCCGTATCTGCGGCACAATGGAAGCGCCGGTGGCTACAATACGGGAGCCCCACCGTTGCCTCAGCAACAGCCGCCGCAGCAGCAGCAGCCACCGCCAAATCCCTTTATGTACGGTGCTGGGAAGCAGCCCTCGCCGAGTTCCATGCGTTTCGGTGGTCCCCTCACCCATGACCTACTGCCCCCCAATGTTAGCATCTATGAGATGGCCTTCAATCCCAAGGAGGAGCAGTACAAATGGTATCTCAAACTGTTGGAAACGGTGGGTCAGGATGGAGCCAACAAGTTTGCGGACATGTTGCGCCAGGTGATGAACTCGATGCAGCAACAGCCGCAACACAAGCCTCCGCCGCCGCCACCGCAACAGCAGCAGATGGTGAACAATCCCATGCTGACCAATCCGCATGTGCAGCGACCGCAGTATCCCATGATGTATCCACAGCAGGGCCAGCAGCAGCAGCAGCCACCGCCGCAGCAGCAGCAGCAACAGTCCGTAGATGCTTCACCGCCGCTGGAGAACTTCAACCAGCAGATTGATCTGGTCTTTAACTCCATCATGAATGGAGCTAACGACATTGCCCAGCCCATTCTGCGGGATGTGCTGGGCATGGTGGCCGGAGCTGGGAATAATCCTGGTCCACCACCACCGCTGGCCAATGGACTCAATGCAGCCGATCTCCAGCAGCAGCAGCAGCAGCAGCAAAGTCGTCTGTTTGCCATGATGCAGCAGCAGCAGCAACAGCAACAGCTGAAGCCACCACCAGGACCGCTCTATCCGAACCATATGGGACCTGGACCTGGACCTGGCCTCCACCAGGCACCGCCCAATGGCACTAACACGAACTTTATGGGCAATGGTAAGGCAACTCGGACATGAAGGATTGGATCAATCGTTTCCCCCATTTTTTTTCCTCAAGAATTCTGACTGACACCTTATACAAGTTTTGTGTTTTGTGATAATTTATTTTTCGTATAATTGTTAGTGACTGTGATAAAGTTTATTGTATCGTTAATAACGTGTCTTATACAAGCAAAATTCGATCCTGGTTTTGTGTATAAAAAAAGTTGTTATTGCTTTTGTAGAAATTAGAAATTATCTACATTTACTTAGATTTGTAGGTCTTTAAAAGGAAGAGAAGAATGATAGAAGAAATTCAAGACAAGGAAAGCTGTTTAATTGGAAAAAACAACCTATTTTATTTGAGATTCTATAATTTAGAGAGAAACTGCAAGTCAGTAAAATTAGAAAACTGTAGTATATGAAGAGCAATTAAGAATATTCAAGAACTTTAATATGCCTTCGATGATCTGATCCTTCTCTACCTCTTCTATATTTGATATAATCATTAACATTTTACTTTATTCCGTACACAGCTGGAAATGCTCTGCTCAATGATAAGCCTTACAACAACCTGAACATGCATAACAATGTTGGTTTGAACAGTGCTGCTGGCATGGGATTAGGAGGAGGCGGAGGCGGCGGCGGTGTCGCAGGCGGAGGTGGTATTGGTAACCACAATAACAACAACAATAGCAACAACAATGGACTGTTGATGAATGGCAACAACTCGGTACCTCTATACCGGCGACAAGCATTGGCTGGAAATGGAATCGGTGGCGGTTACAACATGTCCGGATTGGATACAGGCGCCAATTTGATAGAAGCCTTGTTCCAGGCCAATAACTCGATGGTAGCCGATCATTCGGTGAAGTCACAGCCTTCGGATCATATGCACGGATTGCTGTACAACAATTTCAATGCAATGAAGGGTGGCAACCATGATGTGGACCTATTCCAGGCCCTGCCGCCCAGCATTGTGTCCCATTCGGAGGCGGGCGGAAGTCACCATCATCACCATCAACACCAGCAATCGTCGGGAGGCGGTTCCTCGTCGGCGGCCACCACATATGCGGCCGTACTGAGCCAGGGACATCAGGCTGTGGGTGGAGGCAACAACGCGGGACCCTCGGCGGGGCAATCGCAGGGTCAGGCGGGATCTGTCACAGGTGCCGGCAGCGGCGGTAAGTCTTCGCAGGCAGGCGGCGGTGGCGGCGGCGGTGATCTCTTAGAGAAGGATCCGTTTGCGGCCATTAGGGAACTGGGACAGGCCACCACCGGTTTTTACAATTATTTTCAGTGAGAGTGAGGCGGCAGCGGCAACATCTCAACAAGCTGTGGCATCAACGGGTCTTAACCTAATGCAAAAAAAAAAAATCAACAAAAAAAAAACTAAAAAACAAAAAACAAAAACTACAAAAAAGCGAAAATTAACTAGAAAAAAATGGCAAAATTCTTAGCTGAACAAACAAAAAAAAAAGCGTAAAAAACGTAAAAAATGCCCCAGACATTGGGAAAACAGAGGAAAAACAAGAAAAAGAACTGCTTCTTAATTATAGTTGTGCCCCTATCCCCTTATATATCCTTATGAACCCTATTATCCTTATAATTGTTTGCTTTCGTTTAAATTGCAAATTATTTTAATTACGGTAGCCTTAAGTTCAACGTGTGAATTATTATAATTAATTAATAATATACATAAATACCAATTTAGTTAATGTTTAGTAGGTTTACTAAAAAAAAAAAGTTCTTTATTGCCCAAATGCCGCAGCCGCTGGGATGGATGTGTTGTTATGCTCCCTGGCCACCAGGAATTCGGCATCCTCGCTCCCTGCTGCATCCAATGGGTTGCTCTGAGCAGCCTCACACAGCCTCTACACAGGACATGCAAGCACACCTTATCGATTCGATTAGAGACTCTTGAACAACAACAAAAAAATATTAAAAAAAAACATTGAAAAAAAAATACAAAAAATATATATAAATATAAAAAGCAAAAAAAAAAAGAAGATAATTATTGTAATAACTATAAAACTGCAGAATGCCTAAATTTAGCTTTAGATATGTAAGATATATATATATATATTATGCTTTGAGAAAATTTGTATTGTACATTTCTTTCTGTAACTTTTTTTTTAGGCCCTCAGTTTGTTTGTTTGTAATTTTTAATTATTCTCAAAGTTATTAAATTGTAAAACATTTCAATTTTGTACAGCAAACGTTGACGACGACTATATATTATTAACAACAAAAAAGAGCGAAAAAAATCATTAAAAAAACTGAAATTTTGTCACGCACTCAAAAATACATAAATTATTGTCCTTCAGATTATATATACCTATTATATATATATAAAGATATATATATTTAATTAATGGCTATAAGGGATATATAAAACATTTTGTGTACGAATTAAACATATACTTACACCTACATATACATATATATATATATATATATGTATAGATATGCATATAAATAATAACATTTTGTGCACGAGTTATAATTGTTCCTTTTTGCCTGAGAATCCCCTGTGTCTCCCCCCCATAAATTGTCTATGTGAGTGTGTAAATTATATTACGATTGTTAAAACCCCTCCCTGCAGCCATATCCCCCACGCATCCTCGCATCCCCCTTTAAACATTATAAAAAAAATATACAAAAAAAGAATCCCCAAACATTTGAAAAACAAAAATAAATGAGAATCCTTTTTCAATAAGAGAGTACATATATTTAATCGATCTTTGAGTTTTATCGTAGTATTTTTGGCTAGCGACTTGGATATAGCATATATACATATTAACTTTATATATAACTGTAATAATTTAACCAACAAAAAGGAGAAAAGATAAAAAAACACAAAAAGAACGAAATTTACATTTAATAAATCACAAGAAATTGTACTTTTAATAATCCATCAACGCCCTCTTCACACTACTCCACATCTCCATATATCATGTTTGTTAAAAAAGATCTTCTAGGAAATATATATATACCAGACACCGACTCTCACTTAGTGTTAACTTATATGTAAATTTAGACACACAACCAACTAACTAAAAACAATAATAAATAGAACAGACACACACACACAAACACCTACATTCTTCATAGAGCAAAAAACAAGAAGTCTAACTAACGAAAATTCCCCCATTTCAAAAACTGTATTGTATATGTAAACCCCATTTATATGAAACCCAGCTGCTGCGCTGAAAATCCTTATAAAAAATGAAAGAAATTACAAAAAAAAAGAGAAAACTAAAAAAAGATCCCCAAGGGACAGAAAAAAAATCAAAAACTAACTTCTTCTTGGCCAGTGTGTTCCTTCATCTCAATTGTCTTCGTGGTTTGAACTAATTCGTATTTACTTTGAATGTTTCTAACTTTTAGCTTTGTTGGGGATATTCCTATATATTCCTAAACAAGGGGGCTTCCAGAATATTATTTGGAAATTATTGGAACTCGTTGGATATGCTCTTTCCATTTGTTTTTTACTATTCTATCGGAATTTTAAAAAACAATTTAATTGACGAAACATCTACTGACACTTTACAAAAGGATATTGAAAGAGTTACAAAATCTGTTTTTGCTCGCGTTTATTTAGCAAACTTTGTATTAACTTAACTAGGGCACTTAATTAGCAAACGAAACTACAACTACAGGAGGCTTCTCTTCAGACGGGAATATTCAATCCGGACATCTCCTCCTTGACCTCATCGTACAGATCCTTGTAGTCAGCGTTCTGCCGGATGAGCAGGGCAACTGTGCCGCGCTTGACACCCATAGCAGCTCCCAGATCCGCTCTACTAGGTGTGTAGGCATAGGGGATACCCTTCTCCTCACACACAGCCGGCAGGTGGCACATAATGTCCACGGGTGTCACATCGCCAGCAAATATGCAAATGCTGAGGGAACGAAAGCAATCATTAGGTCGTATTTCCTTCTGGTGGAGGGATGGACTTACCCAGTTTCTCCCTTGCGCAGGCGAGTTTGGACATCCTTCAGTCCATTACGCAGGAAGGTCTTGTGCTTCATCGCCTTCTTCACCAACTTGTAGCACTTCTTGGCCAGTTTTTTACCTGCCATTGGCTTGGCAATGGCATTCACGAACAGCATCTTGTCGTCGTAGGTCTCCTCTTCCTTGATGGTCACATCGCCGCTCACCTGCACGGATGCGTCGGCATCATCGGAGCGCTCTACTTTCACTTTACCCATTGCTTTTTTGTGAAAAAATGTGGATATTTTACGAAAACTGCGGTTCTGCGGCTCAAACACGTGTTGGTAGTTCGCTAGAGATGATAAATCGTCAATGTCAGTATCGATACTTTCGGTGTGTTTACAAAATGCGATATATCGATGGGTATTTATGTACTTCACTGAATGGATTTTATATAGTGAATATCATATATATCAAATTTTCTATAGGAAAAACTAAAAAAAACTGTCAAGAAAAACTCGTTAAGTACTTATTTTAAATTCTACATTTTGCCGATGTTGGTAGCAAATCCTCAATATTACCAAAAATATCGATAGTATCGTTAATACCCATTGTAAATCGACTGCACGTATTCAGTTGGGCGGCTAAATTTAGGGCTGCAGTATATATTTGAAATGGTGTTGTGAAAATATGTTACATCAATATACTGCGAAGTTTTCTTTATAATTATACATTTAAGTTCAGAACATCAACACATTATAAATTCTGTAAGTCCAACAATTAATAAAAATCCCCTTCATACGCCAACATTATACATTTATTTTAAACGCACATAATTATTTTTAAAGCACAAGTGACATAGAACATTAAAAAATTAATTAAAATTGACAGGACAAAAACAAATTAAAAGAATTGTTTGGCCAGCTGAATGATTTGCATGGCTACTTTAATCTCTCGGGCACCGCGAACGCCCAGCGCAGCCAGATCCTCCAGAGTCATATGGATGAGCACCTCGATGTCGATCTCCTGGCGGGTGAACAGTTCCGTGAGATGCTCATTGCCTGTGCGATTTAGCAGAGATCTCACCCGAGGGCTCAGCGAAGGATGCTCCACCGGGGAGCCGTGCTTGAAGCGCTGATGGATGGGACTCCGGACTGTGTCCTCTTTTTTCACCTTGCTTGACTCCTGTTTCACCCGGAATTCTGACTTCACCCGGACTTCTGGCTTCACCCGGCTCTCCTGCATTGTCCGTGATTTTGGGTCAACCGGAATGGACCTTTCCCCATAGAGGGTGCTCTGACTTGAGGGTGAAAACACGGATCGCGTGCGCATAAATGCCTGCGAAAAACGCGTTGGCTGACGGCGACTTCCTGTTAAACTTTTCGCAGACGTGGCTGGCCGACGTCCTGGCACCTGGAGATGATGACTGGCTTTGGGGATACCAAAAAGACCGGTCCTGGTGCAGGTCTTAGAGCCCCGAGGCCCAGTAGGCGTGACGCTGTCCTCGGTGGTCTCAAAGGTGAACGCCTGGGTGCTTAGGGGCGTCAATGGCGTCAGTGGAGAACCGGGATCTGGATAAATTACAATCATATATATATCAACTAAAGTTTTATATAGTGTTTTATGAAATTACCTCTCCAGGCGCGATTATAGCGTTCCATTTTGTAAATTTAACAGCAAGTACAAGCACAAGGGGACGAAAAAGAAATTTACAAAATGCTCGCATTTACAAAAAGTGCAAAAAAAGGTAACTGTTAATTACAGCTTTTACAAAGTGACCACTCCACAAGCGCCAAAAAATTCCAAATTAGATTATAATAAAATATTGAATACTTAAAAAAATTGGCTATAAGTTCTTAGAAGCTAAATAAAGATATTTGTGGCATATATTCTGAAATAAATACGTTACAGTATAAAACTATATTTTGTGTATTAATATTTAATAATAATATCAACTATAATTTGTTTAAAACAAATTAACTGAAATTAATAAACAGTCAATTAAAAATATGTAATAATAAATGTGTATTTACAGTATCAGAATAAATTTAGAAATGCTTCATAAAATTTCAAAGAATTAATATATAAATTAATAAAAATCTTGTAAACAAAATCGAAATCGAAATATCAAAAATATAATTCCCATATTAATAAAGATGAATATAATAAAAATCAATAAAAGAAATGTAAATAAACCAAGATCATCTAATCAAACTGGAAATCTTTGATGTTATCCACGTGATTTGGTTGAAATCAATAAATATTAACAAAAGTTCAAGGAACCCACTACGCATTAATATTTAGCTTTTTGGCATGTCTAAGTACCAAATGTGTCGTTCTTTATACTTTCTACATAATATTATTTAGCTTCTAATTAAAGCGAGTTTGTCCAGTTTCCAATTTTTGCGACGAAGTTTTTGTGACGGACTGTTTTTTATTTTTTTGTTGTTTTTTTGGTTTGGTTTTCGAATTAGCAATCAGCAGATGAATCGATAAAAGGTAAACAATTGCAAAACACGGCGACGCACAATGATGCCAATAAAGTGTACAAAAATAATCAATTAAATTAATTTAATGACTGATGAAAATGCACAAAATTTGAGTGATAAAATTAAAATAATAATAATAAATACGAGGTCCCAATAATTTCAGAGACAACACAGTCAACTATTGGTAACTGATCAAAGTTAGTTACTATAGGTATCTTCAAGGTAACTACAAATTAAGATCAAATTATTATTTTAATTTTAGTGGGAAGTTTCAATGCTGTATATATATCCTTGATCAGCATCCGTCTGTCTATCCGTTTGTCTCTCAATTATTTTGTATTATTTAATAATTTTTGTCTTAATTTTCTTAAAATCGGACGACTATATCCTATAGTTGCCATAGGAACGATCTTTAAATGTAAAGGAAAATGCAAAACCCCCTCTCTTACTCCCTCTCTCCTGGTATGTTCACCTGGAGTTGCCTCTTTCTCCCAAGAGATGCCTCTTTCTCCCAACAGATGCCTCTTTCTCCCAAAAGATGCCTCTTTCACTCTCGCTCTCACTTTCTCTATTCTCTTTGCTCGGGAACTATAAATAGAGGCACTGCACTCGCGCTGCCCTCAGTCAGTGCGCGGCCTTTCCAGTGTAAACATCTATACTAATGAATGGTGATAGTGATCTTCGACCTCAAAGATATCATCAGCCTATTGCGATACTTCTGGAAAACTAGGATAATACCTTGAGAACCCGAATAGCAGTCACCAGGAACAACCATATGTGCGGTAAGTTTTAACAATGATAATTATATCATGTTTATATTTAAATGCTATCGAAGGGATCAGGTCTAGGTGTAGAATCAGCTGTGCTAGCTATTGATTTTGATTTTGTTTTGATTACTTAATTTTAAAATGATTCAGCAATTTTTGGTAAAGAAATGTCAGCGCACATTTACTTATTCCCATGAGGGGTATTATTTTCATTCCCATTTCCAGTAAAGTAAACCCTTTTCTCTCTCAGTGCTGCGAAATCATGACATTGCCACCTGTTAAAGCTGCGACTAGATACTCGGTATTATTGGCTGCTGGCTGCTGCTATTTGTGTTTTATGCGCTTACCTTGCTTTATTTGGTTTTTCGTGGGCAAGAACAACATGCTGTGCTGACTGTCTGGTTTGTTGTACATTTTGTTATTGTTGTCATTGCGCATTCTGCGGCATTGCCGAAGCTTTGGACATAACACAACCCCCGTACACACACACACACACACACACCCCCCCCCCACCGATGGTTACCCCTAAACCACCAGTCTTAACCTGGTAATAAAGCCACATGTGAAGGCTTGTTGTTGCCGGCTTTTGACCGAAAACAGCTGAGCTTGTTGCCCAGCAGCAGCTGCTTTGTGTTTATATTTTTTTCCCAACGAGCACACGAGTCCAGAGTGCCAGAGCGTGGCCAGGCACTTGCGCAGAAGCTTCAGAAATCCGAAGCGGAAAGCCGAGCTTTCGGTCCGGAGAACATCGGACTTATAAAATACCGATTGCATGCTGCTAAGCGATTCAGTCGTCTAACGGAGTTCAAACCAAACTGAGCTGGAAACTACAGTTCTTAAGGGTGCTTAAAGCTCCATGGAAAGTTCAACGAGAAGCGAGTCGTAAAAATTTTCTACAAATCATTCCCAAATCATAAACAAGTGCGTTCGATTATATTAATAAAAGGAAAAGTAATAAACGCGAGTGGAGTGTGTGCAATAATATAATAATAGTATTAATCATAAATCGCCATTCAGTTGGATGTTCAGTGTTCTTGAGACATGCAAAAGTAGTAGCCAGTGGAGTGTTAAAAATTGTACAACAATAAAAGCAACACAGCACTTGCGAAACACAAATTTTTTGCGAGTGCGCTTTATTTTGGTTGTTGCTATTTTTGCCGCCGACCAACGACGCCGCCGCCGCCTCAACAAAAGAACTTTGGTGAGTTTTTGCTTTGTTTTGCTTTGCTAACTGTTTCATGCAAATTAAATTAAGCAATTAAACGAAAACACACGCAAAAATTGTATTTGCCAAAGCTTCTGTGGTTCTTTAGATATGTTTTTGTGCTTAGTTTTTGGCGATTGAATTACCTCACGGCATGATTAGACCTCGCCAGGTGATTGCAAAAGTTTCATTATTCACTTTTTTTGTGCACTCGCTTTGGATTTGCCAATAATAATAATAATTACCAAAAATTTTACCCAATCGTTCAGTTATTGTAGTTTTTATCTGCACTAGTTTTCTGGCCTTCCCTCGTATGAGAATACACTTTTTTTGGTACCGTTTTATTTTATTTTGGCGCTTTTCTCCTCTTTCTCCCATGAAAATTCAAATAAAAACTCACAAAACTTTTTTAATAACAACAAACGAAATGAAACGAAGGCGTAGATAGGCGAGAGGGGGTGCAGGAGGATTGCCTGCACTGGAATATATTTAATTGAACAACAAAAAGAGAGTCAAACAAACAAAATCATAGACAGGGCAGGGAAAAGTGAACTGTTGTTGTTGCTCTCTTTGCCGCTCAAACGATTCACAATGGACCAAGAGTAGTACAGCTGCCACCTAGAACAAGTGGCATAATAAATATTTTGCAAATAAATAATGCACAAAAAAATAATGTAAAGCGAAATAAAATATTCACGAGTCTTTAAAATGCACTAAACAGTTTTAAAAAAAATTTTGAAAAATGGTTAGATGGGGGGATGATTTATACAAAAGGTTTAACATATGTTATTAGTATATATTTTCATGTATTAAAAATTGCAAATATATGGGAAGCGGCTTAAAAATACATTAGACGCATTAAAAATGCTTTAAAGAGCTTAAAAAATACATTAGACCAAGTCCTTTTGAAAAAATTTAATACGAAATATTTATAAATTTTTTTACATATTTTTCAGTCACAGAAACAAAGCTAAAATGCATAGGAAATATTTTCAAATTCTATATAAAATATTACTTGATTAATGAAGGGTAAAAAAACAGGTTATAAGTATAAATGTTGATTAAAAAATTCAAATGACTTACAAATTTTATTGAAAATATTTTGTCTTACTCCTTTTACTACTTAAATCAATAAAATCTTTGAATATAAGTAATAAAACCAATCGAAAATTATGTAAACAAACAGGGAAAGTTAATAAAATCAGCTTTAAATTGTAAATATTATAAATAAACAAAAAGAAACACAACAAGTGAGACAATATAAAATCTAAAAATACTTCTTATTCCCCAAAAAGCCGTGAAATTTAATCAAAATAAATCAAATAAATTTATTCCCAAAAAAATAAGAAATAGGCAAACCCTCAACTGAAATTAAAAAGGTCAACATTCGCAGAGTCTATGAACCCCATTAAAAAATATATATATATATATGTTTATAAGGACCCTTATTCTGTTTTTTTTTAAAGTACAAAGGCATAAAAGCAAATTTGGAAATGTGCAAACAAAAATTGGCTTTGGCAAACAGATTTGAAAATAAACCAAAACAAACCAAAAAAGGCAATAAAAGAGCGTGGAAAAGTACGGGGAAAATTGTTGAAAAATGTAACAAGTCAAAGGAATTTTTTTCTACGTCGGTCTCCCCAATGCCAAGCCATCCTTCCTTTCATTCTCTTTTCGCCAGGCCACATTTTGTGATAATTTAAATAGAAAAGTTAACAAAATATAGAAATGGAACTGAAATATTGTTTGCTCTCCCCGAAAACGTAAATAAAACTTGAATATTTGTAAAAATAAAAAGAGTTGAGCTTTGATATATTCGGAATGCATTGGATAAGTTTTGTGGATTTTATGAATTTAAATTTTTTGCGATGGAATTTTTAAAAAGCAGAAAACTGGAAATACCTCCATACTAAGCTTAAAGTTAATCAATCATAATGATTTAAAAATAAAAGCAAATATTCTGTCTGACTTGCTTCCCCCTCTAAGAAAGTTCACAAGACTTGCAAAAGATTAGAATAAATGCAAAGGAACTTTTCGGCTTTTTGATTTGGCTGATTTTCAACTTTTCTTTTAATGTCTTCCTGATTTTTCCTCCTTGAGCCAGACAAATATGCAAATGGAATTCGTTCAAGTATTTGTTGAGAATTAAAAGGAAATAATTGAATTATGCTTAAATCAAATGAGAAGCATTTCAATTTGAATTTCAGGGAAAGTCAACAGATTGGATAAATAAATACGTTGAGGGTATGAAAAACTAACCTATGGCAGGGAAAATAATGTAAATATTTACATCAAAAGGACGAAAAGAAAAGTCTTTCAGGGTGGACAATTGAATTCTTTTCAGATTTCTTTCTTAAATTTTAAATTATTTCAAGTTTAACGTTTGACAGGCTGCAAGAAAATTTGCCAATTAGAGCTGGATTTTCATGCTGGGATTAAGTCACAAAAATTGGACAAAAATGAAAAATCTTTTAAATAAATGAAAACTAGATTTTCGACAGAAAACCAGAAGAGCAAAATAAATCTTCACACGCCTCGGGCACTTGAAAAGATTTGCCTCTTTATTTTTCTAGAAATATAAAATCCATAATTAATGGCTGAAATAAAAACACATCTGAATCGAAAGAAAAGTTGAGGAAATGTGTGTGTAAAATTCTAAATTAAAGGATAAACTCACTTTTGTGTGGTAATTCCCCAAGGATGTGTTTCCACCCCAAGAACGAGAATGAATATGAATGTGCATCGTATGTTTGGGTAGCTTGAGTCGCTTGCATTGGGGATTTACCAGACCTAAGTAAAAAAACCAAATATAAAATGAAACAAAATTGTCCAACCAAAATTTATTCTGTTGTCGCTTTAGAATAGAGCAGCCACCAAGGACCAACTAAAAAAAAATATAAAAAAAACGAAGGATAAAACACATAAAAATACAGATACAATTTGCCAGAAGCCAGAGCCAGCCAGTTGTTGGCCGAAAAAAAAATTGTTGCTGAAGGACTGCAGTCACAATGGGCAAAGGGCGGGATTTTTATTTCAAAAATAACATTTTCTAACTCCTAAATACTCTGTAGTATTTTAATTTGGAATAATATCAATATCTATATTTTCTAGAGATGAGTTAGGGAATAGTTTTGGAACTTAATAATCAAATATTTGAAAAATATGTCGATATCAATCAAAAAACTCTTTTTAATTAAAGTTGGTGTGTTGATAACAATTTCCTTTAATTATTTTAATATAAATGTGTTTATCTGTTACAATTTTCCATGGAATAATACACTGATCATTAAGTTTATTAGGTATTTAAAGATTTGTTTATAGGTTTTGTGTCTATTTATAGACATTACATATATTATTGTATAATTTCTGTATCGCTTTATTTATATCGAATTTTCCCTTGATTATTTTGATATATGGAAAGATACATTTTTATATATATTAGCATATATAATGAAAATTAATTTTAGTAAGTATATATTGATTTTATCTATATTTAAACAAATTATACGAATTTCTCTATACCTTTCCTTGTGAAACCAACCGATACCTTGCTGATATCATCTTCAACCTTCTCCAAATATCCAAAACCCCAACCCCTATTACAAATCATGCATACCCCATTGAAAGGGTATCAAATGATGCTTAGATGTCTTCTCTTTTGACAGCTTTCCAGCTCATTGTGTGCCCATTGTATGGGGCGAGTGGAGACGAGCGTCAAGTGACTGAGCCAAAGTCACATGAGTGCAATTTTAAAACAGTGAAAGATATATAAAGCAAAGGCAAACAACTGATCAAATCTCGCCGCTATTGCAATGGGCGTCGTTTTCCGAAATGACAGCTTAGATGTACTCCCATAAAAAAATATAGACGATGGAGAAGAAAGAGTAACCTGGCTGACTTGCTGGCTGCTTGACTGGCTCACTGGCTCACTGGCGACGAGGGCCAAGAACGAAGATGGCAAACAACTGAGGTTGCAATAAATCCCCGGCAAGACAAGCAAAAGGAGCTTGGTGCAATTGAACCGCCTGCTCCTTGGTCCTTTCGGTTACCCTCCTCCCATTCGTGCTCAATCCTCAAACGACCGCCATCCTTCGTCCTTCGTCCTGGGTCGAATAGCGCAACAGAATGTCAATTACTTGAATGTGAGGTTAGGTCAAAGCTATAGAGCCAAGGCTTGATTTTCATTTGGAAAATTCCCTAGTCCAATCCCTGGTCAGTGGGAAAAACTATTGGTACATACATACATAGAGCTCCTCTGATTGCCTCTCGGTTACTTTGACTAATTTCGGGTTTGTTGCAGTCGGCAAAGGAAATCGTCTTGCGGAAAGCAATAAATTTTTGTTCAGGAAATTTAATGGATTAGAGGGGATGTGAGAAATTTTCCCTTGATTTGAGGCCTGATTTTTCATATTCAAGCTGCATTTCTTACCTCACCAATAGAACTCCTTGCTTGCAATTTTGAAATGCACTTGGAGAAAGTGAGAGAATTTTGAAAATGTATTGAGAGTTAGTAAGAATCTATTTTTCTTGTTAATAATATTCTAAATAAAAGCTTTTAAAAATAAAAACTTAAAAATACTTGAAGCATTGCCTCACTTTTTTTATTTAACTTTTTGATATGAAAAACTATTTAAAATATATATTGTGTGAAAGAAACAACCCCGTCTCAAATAACACTCATACGCAGCGTTGGCCAGCCACAAAACAATAATCCCGCCGAATTTGTGCTTTATTTTAAATTTGTTTGATTACTAAAATCAAAATCCAAAGAAAACATAATTTACCATAAAAAATTCTTCATATTTCTGGCTGAACTTGATTTTCCCAGTGCTTGTTTTTAAAAAAAAACTAAGCTAAAGTTAAGGCACTTGGTTCTTGGTCCAAGTCCAAAGCGTTTTTCAGTGGGTTTTGCCCATTTATCGATGGCCTGCTTGCATGTTTGTCTGTCAATTGGATTTCGTCCTGGAAGTGAGCTTTGAGTTTTGAGTTTCCTTTTT